TGCGGTGCGGTGCGGTGCGGTGCGGTGCGGTGCGGTAAATATGATTCATATTTATAAAGAAATAATTTTTATGGTTTTATATAGCGCTCTTTTCTATATAAATATGATCAAATGCGCTTTGTTTTACAGTATGTTCAACGGTGCTGCAGCAGTTGACGTTGACGGGAAGAGAGCCGTTTTTTTTGACGGAATGGACGACTACGCAACTGTCCCTCGATTTGATATTACTGGAGATCTGACTATTGCATTTTGGGTGAAAGCTGAAGTAGCTTCTAATAAGTACCTCTTTTCGGATTTTGATGCCGCTAATAATAAATATATGTTCAGGATTTACGTATCATTGGGAAAATTGGCCTTTTCTCTACAAGGCACTACGGGCTCAGCTATCATAGGGCCACTGAAATCGTCAAGGTATAGTCAGTGCAGAAGAAATAATTTTATTACATTATTCTTTTGTCTTATTCTATCATATAAACACTCCTTTCTACCACCTCTTTCTCTTTAACTCCGACGAAGGACTAGCGTCCGAAACGTTAGTAAGTTTTTTCATCTTTTCGCGGTGTATAATTTACCTTTTTATCATTACTGTTTCATTAGAAATACCGACGCAGCTCACACTAGTTTTTACATTATTTTAATTTGTTTAAGATTAAGAAAAAAATCATTGTTACGATACTAGATCTTAAGATATTAGATCTCTGTTGAAGCCGTAGGCGTAGGCGGATAAAGCGGCCGATGTCTTGATAATTTACGACATAATGCGAAAGACGAATTCAATAATTATTTTGTTATAGATTTTGTGAACTAAGAATAATACATTTATCATTTCAAGTTCACACCCATATCAGTGATTGGGTGAAGGCTCTCGGCTCTCAATCAGAAGCGAAATAGTGATTCAATGTATAATAACAATTACGATATTATGCGATAACCGAATTCAATAATTGCTCTATTAAACATTTTGTATACTTATAGTTTTATATGCCCTTGGCAAAGCTGCCACAGCGTGACCTTGAATGAACTTGACATGATAAATGTATTATCTGTAGGAAAACCTACAGGTAATACATTTATCATGTCGAGCTCTCACGATATCAGGGATTGGCTGAGGGCTCTCGACCAATCGGAATTGAGATACTTAGTAAATTTTGTAATAAGGACTCTTAATCCTTCTCTTCAATCTGTCCATGCTCTGTGATTCACCATTTTCCATACATCAGTTCACTGGTCAAACACAAAGCATTTAGTCGAGATTGCAAGGTTCAAATTTGCGGAATAATCTTTTGAAAGTACCTTGGCGCCTCGCTTAAGCGCTTTGTCTTTGACCAGTGAACCAATGTATAGAAAATGGTGAATACACACACATACACTCATTGTTGCAAATTTTATGCTTTCAGTAATTTCCCCCTCAACGTATGGGTTCACGCGGCGATCACATGGAATCGTAGTACTAAAGAAGGAAAGGTGTTCCTTGATGGAAACCCCGAAGGGTCAATGACCTCAACTGCAAACGACCTCAATACTTACAACTCACCCAATCAAAATTTTGAGATTGGAGCTCGAAAACAAGGAAGCTCGACTCAGTTTTCAGGATATATGCAAGAATTATTTGTGATAGAGAAAGCTTTGAGCCAAGCCGAAATAACAGCGTTGAAAGGTATTGAAAAAACAAGCCCTATGGCTAGTTTTGCATTCGATGCATAACCTAGTTTGTGAAGACCACAGACTCGGTTACACAGGCTTAGCATCGTTTATAAGTCACAGTTGTTACCATTAAAAGTCCTTTGGGATTTTGAAAACATTAGTATTGCACATGCGATCCTAGTGAGGCTAGGCCTGTGCAGATGAGTCTTTAGTCATAAAACACAGCGTTTTTAACCGAATGAGAAAAGAGACTGTATTACTCTTGCATAGTCCAATCTTGTCAATAGCACACGCAAAAACGTCACGACAAATCTTGTTGTGGTGGAAGTTATATAATGTCAAGATTTTTGTATGACATTCCATAAGCACGTGGCCTTGAAACCTTTGTGTTACCGACATTGTCATTAGTCTCCCCCACAGCCTCTATCAGTGTTGTCACGCAACGCTTTCTCCCCTGAGTAGGCGTTGCGTGACGACACTGAAAGCGGCTGTGGGGGAGACTACATTGTCATGAGAACACTTTAATAACAATCATAATAATAATAAGAGTAAAAGATATAATAATAATAGTAATAATAATAATAATAACAATAATAATATAGTAATAGTAATAGAGTAATAGAGTACAAACACTAAAAGTGTGCAACACTTTGCACTATTTAGTAGTAAATAGTGCTAATTAAACAATATAAAACAATAGGATTAGCATAATTTAGCCGTATTTAGAGGTGTTTATGTTACACACTTATAGTGTTTGTACTCTAGTAATATAGTAATAAAGTAATAAAGTAATAGTAATATAGTAATAATAATATTACTTATACCAGGCAAATTGGACTTAACTTTTTATTCCAATAGTAATCAATCAGTAGAGTCATTCAGTAGTAGTGTGTGAGTTTCTTTAATTTCTATAAATTGAAATACCTTTTCTGTTTTAGATAATGGACCATCGGCTGGACCAAACCCCGCACCCACACCAGCGGCAGACGGTGGAGGTCCCTGGGTCGGACTGAATGACGTCACCACTGAGGGAACATTCCAGTGGTCTGATGGATCACCGCTGACCTACTACCAGCTTCAGAGCTCTGACAACACGGAAGAAAAAGACTGCGTTCTTTTGCCAAACGATGGAGACAGTTCAAGCAAGTGGATTGTAGCAGAGTGCACTCAGGAAAATCCTTTTCTTTGCAAGAAACATTAAATCCAGACGCTGATGTTTCAAGATATTTTTTGACGTTTCAAAATTAAGGGTTAAGTGCCTTTTTCACGCGGCAGCCATCTTGGTTTGACCACGCGGCAGCCATCTTAGTTTGACAATAGATTCTACCACGCGTAACCTCTCATTCACGCTTTTAGGAATAAAATTTAGGTTGGTTAAACAGAGGTTTCTTTTCTCATGAGAATAAACATGACCGCCGTGTAATAAAGGTCTACTGACCAGTTTCTATACAAGTTTTCAATAGTCAATCACGGAGCAGATGAGCAAAGCGAAGGGTAGAACTTGCATGTTTTGTGCTTGACCAATGAACCGATGTATGGACATCTAAAAAAGAAGATTGCTCAGAGGGTATCCTAAAAATATCTTGCATTTGATATTAAGTCCTTTTGGTAGTCCATTTTGCACCGCTTAAGAAAACATGGAAAATTCAATTAGCACTTTTCTAGATTAAGCTCATTTTCACTGGCACATCTTCAAGTGTGAACCATCGGCTATTTATGAAATAGAAAATCAAGGCAAAAAGAATGGACTATACAACCTTTGATTGTAATAGTTTTGGAAGTGGTTTTAAAACCTATAAAAAATATCAATTTACACCTGTATAGCGTATGAATGACGTGCGCTCGTATTAACTCTTGTACATGTTTACCTGCAGCTAGTATGTAGCCACGTTTGTGACGTCAGAGCTTTGGATGCTTTTGGAGTATTTTTAGACTCTTTTACTTCGTTTTCGACTTGATTTCATATACTTAAACATTGTGAAATATGAAAACTAGTGGGATATATAAGGTATTGTAAGTAAACTCAGGCCTCAATCAACTCAACATTATCTTAGGTGTACTCCAGGCGACACGATGGAAAAACGTCTGCGCATGCTCTGAATCCGTATGCAAATTAGTCAAAACATAAGTAAAAATTTGACTTTCAAACATGCCTGATAAATTGGACTTCACAAAATGCTAAAACTTAGTGTCCATGCTTGAAACTTAAGGCTAATTCTTTCATGTTGTGTTTGTTAATACAGTACCTTGGTCTGACAAAAGTATACTCTCGAACTTTTTTGTATACTTTGAGAAAACAAACATTTATTTTCTCACTCAAACTCTTCAAAATTCTTAGAAAACGTGCTGAAATGCACGCATGCGCAAACGTTTTTCTCTAGTGTCACTCCAGGCCGTACTTGAATACGAAAAACGTTTGTATTTTAATTTATGATGAAGTACAAAAAATCGGCCACTTTTGGATAAAAATCTAAGATTATAACCACAATTATATAACCATATAACCACAGATATATAGATTTGGACCAATTTTCGCACCTCAAAAATATTAATTATTTAATATATAAGAACGCAAAATAAGTTTGTAAATTAGGTCGTTAAAGGTCATTTAAATGTTCCTGGATAACAGACTGATAAAATAAAATAAATGGGATTTAGTAGTGGCTTTCCCAGACAGAATGGGTCTTCATCCACTAAAATTCCAATTGGAAATGTTACAAGTTAAGAGAGAATTTTTTTCGTATTCAAGCAGTGAGGGCCAAAAACTATTTTCTTGAAGAGAAACTGTTGTACAAGGCTAAAATCTTGTTAGTCAGAAAATTGTACTTGTTTGGAAGTGGAAATGACCGATGAAAGTGGAATCAAAGTGTTAACCCAAAGCAAAAATTTTATTCGAAAATGAGGTTTAGGCCTTCATTTGCTTATTTCGCATATATTTTCTATAAAAAAAGCCTGACAAAGCAACATTCTAACACAAATCCAACAAAACATCTTTGTACAATTGTAAATACCGCTTCAAACAGGCATTTTATCATAGTACATCAGTTTCTAACTGTTTAAAAAAGGTTTTGAGTGTTAATCCAAAACGAAAATTGGGATTAAAACTCATACGAAGGTCTAGTTTTTGGCGCTTTTTGCCATTATTACTCATTATTGAAAAAAAATTCCTCTTTATCTTTAGGGAGGTAGGAAAACCGGAGAACCTAGAGAAACCCTCTAAGCACAGTTACAAAAAAATCTGCTAGCAAGTTTTTAATGTTTTTACCATATCAAAAATCGGCTGCAATCCTGTATACCTGATGAACAGAAAATAATTGAGGCCGCTTTACCTATTCTAAGACAATTTATTATATAGCTTATATTTTAGATGGAACGCATGCTCTGATTGGCCGAGAGCCTGTGCTCTATTAGAGATAGGAGCATGATTAAACGTTGTTGATGCCCTCCGCGCGCGTCAAGCAAACTTTGTAAACAATTTAAAAAAAAACAACAAAAAAAACAAAAAAAAATAAAAAAAAAAAAAAAAAAAAAAAAAAAAAACAAAAAAAAAAAAAAAAAAAAAAACAAAAAAAAACCAAAAACCAAAAAAAAAACAAAAAAAATCGAAAAAAAACCTTATTTTCCTCCTTCGTTCAGCAATTAATTAGGACGAAAAGTTCTAAATAAAATTGAATGCGTTCATTTGCCAAAAGAAGCAAACAGTTGAAGCAAGTGGATCCGATATCAAAAATTGAGTGTCGTATTTCCGTGTGTCTGTTGTCTACGTGTCTATGTCTGTTGTCTGCGAGGCAGACCCACGAGTTAGCATCGTCCCCGTATCCTTCCTCGATTTTCCAAAGTTTTTCTTTTCTACTTATCTTTTTTTTTCTTTTCTTTTCTTCTTCAAAAATGTTCATGTCGAATTCCTCATAAAACGACGGCCATTTTGTTAGCTGCTTTTCCGCACAATCCAAATACGAAATTGATCATACCATATATGGAGTGAGCTTTCTCTACTCCAACTTCGACACTAACATATAGAGTAAAGCTTGATATCAGAGCAAGAAATGAAAAGAGTGAACTGGTCCCCCACCCCCCTAAAAACTTCTAAATTTGATCATCCCATTGAAGAAAACCACAGGGTATACGTAGTTCTAATAAGTAGTCCAATACATAACGTAGTTAACTGTATTTTAAAACGTTTTTATATACCATAACGGGATACTGCAAAAACGTCATATAATAAATTACTGCCCTAATTAAACCACTAAGAAATATTTCTTGGAGACCCAAAAATCGAATTATTTTAAATATAATAATGATTTTAAGCAATTATCTTGAATTAAAATCTCAGCGCTTCTTGTTAGGACCGCTTCAATTCTTTATCTCATTGGTCCTAATTTAGCCTAAGATTGGTGGGCACTGTTTGGCTTAGTAATAAGTGTTAATCACCGAAAACCTTCACACTATGTTTCCATTAGGCAATGTATTCTATAACTAGAAGCGTTTTTCTCTTTACTTTTAACATGACATATTATAAGGTTTTTTTTTTTGCGTAAAAAGTCTAGAAACTTCGCTTTTTTAAAGTGATCCGCATAATTCAAAATCAAACATCTTTCGCTCATTATACTTAATAAGTTATTTAAATCTTATTCTATTTCATTATTAGAAGAAAAAAATTGTTTGAAAGTATTGGTTGAACCAAGAGAACAGAATTCGAATGTGTTAAGAAAGTAAACAGTTTTTTTGGTTTTAGCTTCATTTTATTACTATTTTTAGGGCTTTTACTTTATTTTATATTTGGCTTAATTTATTGGCATGAATATTTCATTGTTTTCGAATTACATTCATATTCATTAACATTTGCTCTGAACAAACTTTATCCTTGGCCTTTAGATCTTTTACAAATTTGAAGGTGATAATTGCTGCTTACTCTAATGTTGTACTTCAGAGCGACGTAAAACGTCCTGTACCCACAACTAATAGAGAGGGAGCTTAAAAGATTCTAATCTAATGCAATTTTGCTTTTAGTTTTGTCACCATTCCAAAATTTACTTCGAAAAAAAAACCGTCTTGACGAATTATGGTCTTCGTAGAAGAGGCATTTGGAATTGAATACATTAAATTATCAAAATATTTAAGCGAATCTGACTCAGAAAATCAGTGCAGAAAATCTCCTTCGAGAAGTTTCCTGGCTGTGCCGTGAAATAATTGATTTTCTCTTTATATCTTGGATATCACTGCACGCGACAAAAAGCTACAGCCCAACGGAGAATTAAATTCAATTTTATTCAAGAACTTATGATGGAAATCACCTGGGCATTCAGTCTTTGAAGACGGAGAAAGATTTTCACTCAACTGACAAAGCAATGGAAACTCGAGCGATATTATTCAAGAGAATACTTTTATGTCTCGTGCTAAAAGGGATTCAAACTGCAGCAGGAAGATTGACTGTTAATTCTACAGCACATCCTCCGAAAACAATAATAATATTGGTTACAAGTCCAAGCGAGACCGTAGAGCATTCTGTGGTTTTACTACTTTCGACGTTTCTTCTCATGGCTGGGGTTCTACTGTGTATATATTGTATCTGTTGTAGAGATGAGTTGTTCAGTGAGGCCCAACGCTTCAGGCCACGAAAAGGAACAGAAACTATCTAATTTTTTAATTTCGGGCTTCAAAAGAATATTTTTTCTACGTTTGCAAGCTGACATGGTTGGAGAGGACTCCATGCTGATGAGCTTTTATAAAAATGCATTGAATATGAAATTTTGAACAACGTGTCAACTGAATTGTCTCACGAAATCTTAAATACTCTTAACGGGAATATTCAAAAACTTCAAAACATTTATTCAATAATTGTTATTCTGGAGCAGAATTACTCGATAATTCATTGTTTATCGGTAAGGCTGAGAATCAGAATTTGTTTAACAGTTAAAAATACAAAATGAGGCAAGTCTTCTATAAGAGGAAAACCACGACTGAGTGGGATCTATTATTCAACTTATAATAACCTGATATCTTTTTTCATTTCTGTCCTATAATTGCGGTATATGGCTTGGACCTCTAACAGCGAGTAAATGAGGATCCGCGTATCTGCATATTTGTACAACAGGAAAAATGCACGACAAACGAGATTTGTATATCTACACTCACCAAATGAAAGTTTATTTATAAAACATTCGCTCTTTATCGTGTTGGCTATTTGCCACGCAAGAGGCTGATCTTATTAATATTATGTTGCACGGCCATTTGTTACGTAATAAACAATAATAATAGTAATAATAATAATAATAATAATATAATTACAATAATAATAATAATAATAATAATAATGATAATAATAATAATAATAATAATAATAATAATGATAATGATAATAATAATAATAATAATAATAATAATAATAATGATAATGATAATAATAACAATAATAATCATGATAATAATAATGATGATGATGATACAAATCGGTTTAGTGTTCATTGAATTATCTCGTCATGAAGTTGTGTTTAGTTTCAAGAGATTATTACAGCTATCATTACAAATAATTTATTAGATATTCGAGTTCGTGGCATTGCAGTGCATTTTGGGGCTGTTTGAGAGGACGAAATAGATGCCATCTTGGAAATATGTCCTCCAAAGGAGCTCTAAAATGCAATGCAATGCCACGAACTCGAACTAGTTTTTACCTCAACCTAGAAATTGCTGATAGCCGAGTGAGATTGTATTTGCAACGAGCGTGCCAGACCTTGAACTTGAAAAGCAAACGTCACGCCGTCATGCCATATATGCAAAACGCATTCGAACAAACAATTCACATTTTTATTAAGGACGTCACGACTCTTGGAAACGAGACTCAATGGCTATCGTTTCTTCTCGAGTCGAATAAAAGATTCATCAAACCGAGGATAAAGGTAAAATCAAACTAGATAGACGAAGTCGAGAAATAAAAAAGCCAAAAATGCTTCAAAATTCCCCAAAAATAAGAAAAGATGAACTTGTTCGCGTTGGAAGTTATAATTCAGTTAACATCCCAGAAGTAGGAATGAAATCATC